CTGGATGATATCTAAGCTCCTTTCCAACTCCTTAACATACTCTGATACTATGTCCCTGGGATGGTAAGGACACTGGAGACCATGAGAGCTGGTGCTGGGGTGTGCAGGGTCGTGGATACCTGTCATGGGAGAAGGTGGGACGGAAAGAGAAATCCCATGGTCCCTGCCATGAGCACACACCACAGTTGGGAGATTTTCCCTGTTGCTGATTGCTCCTGCCTGTGCATGCGGGAAGTTGGAGCCACCATGTCCTGCCTGTGCCCCTTGGTGGCAGCTGCCAGGGACAGGCGAAGGATGCTGAAGGAACCACGTGCACACACACACACAAATACAAGCTGGTGATGTGTCCAGGATCATCCAGTGGCAGGTGTTGGCAGAGACTTTGCTCCCCAGCAAGCTTTGTTTGGGAGTGTCTGCCCCACAGGCCAAGGAGGGAGCAGAGGTGATGGAGACCTCTCACCACTTCCCACTGGGTTCCCCTGGAGACACCAGCAGCTCCCTGAGCACACACCCAGGCACACATCCACCAGGGACAGACACTGAGTGGTGACAGAGCCCCAGCCAAGGTTTACAGGCTGGATTGACAGGCTCAGCATGAGCAGTTAAAAATCCCAGTGCAAATAAAGGAGGGTGTTGGTTGCTGCTGCCCTTCCTCGTATATAGCTGCAGTATCCAACTACTGCTTGGTACAGGTCCTTATCCTGAGGCACAGCAGGGAAATTCCTGAGGGAGGTAGTCCCAAGGGCGCACGGATGGAAAAGCAGCCTGAGACCTGGTGGTGGAGGGTGAAGCTGAACTCCTGGCCTGGACATCCTGATACGTGTAGGGCTGTAAAACCCTGACTCACACTGCTGTTTTCATGCTCCTGGGACAGCCAAGGAAACCTCTTGTGTGTCTCTTGTGGTCACTGCCAGCAAGAGAAGAAACAAATACAAATCAGTAAATAGCAAAAAAGGATGTGTCTCACTGGTTGTGAGAGGCTTTGTAAAAACCCGTGCAAGGAAGCGTCTCGTCTCTCTCGTGACTCGTGGATGGGGATCCTGACCCTTGGCAATCTTCCTGCCTCACGCCCTGGCAGGTATAGCCTGGGGGCACTGGCCTGGCTGAGATGCCAAAGCTGAGCAGAGGTGAGTCTGGGCTCTGCTCTGTCATTCACCCACGTGTCAGTGGGGACATCTCCCCCAGCTGTGCCTCCTCTTTATCTCATGCACTGTTACAAAATCATCAGCATTTCGGGTGAGGGTTGGCGCTGGGTGAGGGTTGGCTCTTTTGATGGGTGCAGAGTTGGCTTCTTGGCTGGGACGTCTTCCTATTGTCATCACCCTTTTGGCATGTACCAGACAGCTCCAAGCACTGTGGGGCTGCTCCTTATAAAACTCAGGCTAACTGACCCCACCAGCCTGGCCATCACAAACAGAACATCCCTTGGGATGCTGGCAAGGAGCTGGATGCCATCCATGCAGCTCTCCTGGCACAGACATTTCCACCACCTTTCAGCTTTGCAATGGTGTTGATGCTCACAGGTGGGACCAAACCTGAGCCCTTTGAGGCAGCTCTTCCCTGGATGTTTCCAGGTCACCACCAGCCCCTCTATGCACTGCGGATGCTCAGTGTGGGTCCCTCCTGCTCACATGCTGCAGGACCAGCCAAGGCCCAAACTCTGCCTGTTGGGTGGCTGCCAAGCAAGCCAGGCATGTTCTAGGCCAGCCCAAGATTAAGGCCTAATCTCAAAGGCAATGTTCAAACATGGCACTTTGTACCTGGTTTCCGTGTGTTCAGCTCATCAAACCAGTGCCTTGGTGACCCAGCTTTCACTCTTCCCCAGTACTTTGCTGGAAAAACAATTCCTGTTGGGAAAACCTGCCAGCCTGGGCAGCCCAGCAGTGCACATGGTGTGATGGGGGTACCCCAGTGAACAGCCAGGCTTGCTCCCTCCTCACACAGAGGTTTTGGTGCTACGCCTGGATCTGGGTTACTCTGATTGCTTTTCTCTGCTTTCCCAGGGAGTATCACTGGGACAGTTTGTACTTCTTGTCCCTCTGCTACCCAAAGCTGTCACAAGAGAGCAGCAGCTGTCCAGGCCCCTCAGCATCATCTGACTGAAGAACTAAGGAAATAAACCCCAGATGCCAACCACCTCCAGTGTCCCCCAAATCCCCTCCCCAGATTCGCTCAGAGGCTCATCTCATCCAAACCAAGTTTCTGTCCATCATTAATCCATTCCAGAGCATTTTAAAACGCAGTGTCACTGCTGAGGAGAGCCTGGCCCCAGCAGGAGGGGTCTGGCTGCCCTGCCAAGACCTCTGCATCCCCCCACACTGCAAAGCATCCCTGTGCATGCTGAGCTGGAGGTACCTTTCCCTCGAGGGTCCATCTCGCTGGTCGATGCTGTGAGAACCATCAGGCTCTTCCCTTTGGTGTTTTTTTGATGTTCTTCCCCAGCTGATTGATGCTTTGGATCTTCCCAGAGTGTGATGGTGCTCCTCCAAGTGCAAGTCTCCATTCTGGCTGTGCCAGAGCCACAGGTTAGCCCAGATCCAGCTCCCTAGAGGGGACCTCGATGTTGAATGTGTACCAGAAGACCCAGAAGAGAAGGCTGACTGCGAGCAGCAGGGCTCCGAAGTAAACAAAGAAGTCCCAGGAGCTTAGAGGAGCAAAAATCCCCAGGAGGAGGATGAGGAGGCCGATGGCATCACAGACCAGAGCCACAATGAGCAGCGCAGCACATCGGCCCATGAGCCTGAGCAGGGCCATGCTGGGGCCAGCAGAGACCCTCAGGGCAGGGGCAGAGGGGGCAGCAGCATCCCTGCACTCCCTGCCTGCTGCCTCTGCTCTCAGGCTGCCAAGAGGAAGTACAAATGTCACAACACACCTTGCAGAACAATCGGGAGGCAGCACAAGATACAGCTTTAACCCTTTCACAGCCCTGCCGTGGCCTTGGCTCCGCCTGGCCTGGGGCTGATCCCAGGAGCACGGCAGGGATTTGGGTTCAACAGGACTCAGTGCTGGTCCTGCCCGTGGGACACAACAGCCCATGCAGCTCCAGGCTGGGGGAGCAGTGGGGACAGAGGTGTTGGTCACAAAGGACTTGGCAGTGCTGGTGGCACAGCTCAGTGTGAGCCCACAGTGTGCACAGGTGGCCAAGGAGACAGAGGAGACGGCAAGAGAAATATTTTCCCTGTTAAGGTGTTCAGTAATAGGGAATAGCCCAGGGAGGTGGTGGAGTCACCATCCCTGGAGGTGGTTAAAATGTGTCTGGATGTGGCATTGGAGGATATGGGTTAGGGTTTAGGGGTTCCAGCAGTGACAGGTTAATGGTTGGACTTGATGGTTTAGAGGTCTCTTCCAGCCTTGGTGGTTCTGTGATTCTCTGCACAGCTTGTGTGAGTCCTCTGGGGACGTGACCCACCTCTGGGACACCCTGCGATGGGTCCAGTGTAGGTGCACCAACCCAAGTGTGTCTAAAAGGCATAAATTTGGTCGTGCCCCAGCGCTTCCCTCCTTGCTGAGCCTCGGCTAATGCTGCTGCTCTGGAAGCCATCCCCCAGACAACACCACTTCAAAGCATCACAGCACTTGGTGGTTTCACATGCACTTCCCTCTACTGAAACTCCCACACTTCCCATGGCAGCTCAGCCCACAGTGCAGACAGGGCTCAGCACCCCTCCCAGCTGTGTGCTGTGCCCAGCACTGAGCTCTGGCAGGCACATGGCTTTGAGGGGGCCATGGCAAAGGTGTGCAAATGCACAAATGTTCAGGCTGTGACCCATCCCAGCCCAGAGCTGGGGACCTGAGCCCCCAGACAGCCCTGCCACCCCCAGCCTCTGCTGCAGGCTCAGCATGCAAAGGGATGGGAAGATTTATAATCCCCAATGGGGCCTGAGCAGATTTTGATCCAAGAAGAGTGAGGTAAAGGGACAAACACACACATTGTCAGTGTTCCTGCTGCTGTCCTGGCAGCTCCTCCACCCCGTGGTGCAAGCTCAGTGCAGCTTCAGGCTGGGATCAGCCAGCTGCACCAGCAAGCTTGGGAGCAGCCTGGGATTCATGGCATTTCATTCCCATGGGATGCTGGCAGGGGAGGTGGGATGAAGGCTGGGATGGACACTGCTGTCTCTGAAGCCTCTGAGCCTCCAGTGTTCCCAGTGGCCTGGATGCTGCAAGGCCCAGAACATAGGGAGCAGGAGCTTTGCCATCCCCAGTGCTGCTGCAGTAAGAGGAGCAGAGCTTGAAATATGCTGGGTCAGAGCATAGGCAATAAACAGTTTCATTTTTGGTGCTGACTTCTGTGCAACCTGATATTCCAGTTCAGTGAGAGAAAAAAAAGAAGGAAAAACACAACTACTTTTGCTGCTGTACCCCGAGCCCTGGCCAGGTCAGCTCTCAGCCCTGGGACTGTACACAGAGCATGGCCTGAGGCATTTCCTACCCTGGAAACCCCCAGGTCACAGCAGCACCATGTCTGGGAGAAAAATAACCAGATCTGCCCTCCTTGAGATGGTCTGGGTGAAAGCCCTGCTCCTCCCTGAGCAAGGGTCTGGGGCGTGTTTGCTCACATCTGCCTCTTGCAGCTTCTGTGCCCTTTCCAGCAGTGCCACAGTGTAAATCTGAGCTGCTTCCACAGTCTCCATGTGCCTAACACCTGGTGGCAAATAGGGTGTTCTGTAGTGTTCCAGACTCAATGTGAGCACTGAGAATCCTCTGAAGAGGAAGTGCCTTCTGGAGGATCAATGTGAGCACTGATGAATCCTCTCACCATGGCTCATTGAGGACAGGGAAGTTGCTGCTGGCTCTCAGTGACTGCAGCTCATCCTGGTGGGATGTCATCTGCTCCCTGTGGTGGGAGGAGGCCCCAGCAGCATTTCAGGGTGCACAGTGAACTGGCAGCACAGGTGGTATCCAGAGTCAGGAATGAAGCAGCTCAGTGGAAATTTGGGCTATTAGCCCTAGTGGCCCCACGAGCCCTTGGCAGTGCTTCCAGGAAAGAGCGGTGAAAGTTCTCAGGGAGCATCTGTGTGTGCTTACAGCACCAGTGGTCAACTACTCCTCCCACAATTCAATCGGTGATGCCCCACAGGAGGGGGTTAGTGCCATACCCAGCAGCAGAAATCTGAAGATTGCACCAAGGATGAATCCAGTCAGTGTGAAGGGATATCATGGAATCATGGAATGGTTTGGGTTGGAAGGGGCATTAAAGCTCATCCAGTTCCATGCCCTGCCATGGGCAGGGACACCTTCCACTAGCCCAGTGCTCCAAGCCCCATCCAACCTGGAACACTTCTAGGGATGGAGCAGCCACAACTTCTCTTGGCACCCTCACAGGAAAGGATTTCTTCCTAATATCTAATCTAACCACTAGCAGGAGAGTGGGAATGAAGAAGTGTGAGGCTTTAAAGGAGAATGGCAGAGTAATGTTTGCCTTCTGAGCTCTACTCTCTGTGATCAGTGACAGCACCCGGGGAACAGCTGGGGCTGTGCCAGGGGAGGGTTAGGTTGGATACCAGGACAAGGCTCTTCCCCCAGAGGTGTTTGGGCACTGAACAGCTCCCAGGGCAGTG